CCATCATCACTGCGCGTTGCACATATGCGCATGTATGCGTGCCTGTGTACAGCAGCCAATGGAGTTGTAAACAGCAATAGTGAACTTGATGTTAACAGTGTTAACAACAATGATTCAAGTGAACCACAACGTAAGTTTTAAACACATTTTTATTCTAGTCGTTGATTTACTTTATAATTTATATTAAATATGTATTTACTTAGGATGATAACATTTTTGAGAAAATTGGTAATATTAGTAGGAAATAACAGAAATCGCTTTGGATGAGGTTAAGTGTAAAAAAATACTATTTTAAAAAACAATACTTTTACTAATTTGGTTGTAGCGTTCTCATGAAATTCTATCTAATTTGTTGTAATTACTTACTTTGAAGTCGCCAAGTATTAATGGAAAAAGTTACATACATACATGCATAATTATATCGTTATTCTGATCTATTGATCTGATTGTTGAAGATTGAAGATGGAGATTTCCCGATGACCATGAAGACATGAATATCTCCAAGATCTGACCCTATAAAAAAGGCAAAATAAAATAGCGAAATAGGCACTTAAAATCGCAATAAGCAAAGAGGGTACTGAAAATTAAAAAAATTGTCAAAAAGACACATTTATTTTAGAAATGCTTATTTTACAAGAAAAACCAAAAAACATAAACCAGGGAACCATTTGTTAATCTGTGAAAGCGTGAAGTGAAAACATTTTTCTACGACTACGATTATGTTTTTAAACAAAATTTAATTTGTCAAAAAGTTTCCCCGAATTTTTCGCTGCACTATTTCGAATATGGGCTTTTATTTTAAATATTAACATTTTTTTTTATCTTAATTAAGGTATAGTCACGTAAAGGCAAAAAAGAAAAAAATCAAATAATATTCACATTTGATTTTTCCCTTTTTTGCCTTTACTGATTATATCTACCCAAATTAAAATTAAAAAAAAAAAAATCTTTAAAAAATAAATTTTTAATCGCAACTACTCTATCCCTTAGCAAAAAAGGAAACTCATAAAATTCGTTCCCTTGCAAGGCACATTAAACAGGTAGTATCAGTAGAGCAAAAACAACATTTGCGTGTATTTTGTTGTTGTTGTTGTTGTTGTTGTAGCAGCATACAAATTCCCCAAAAACTTTTTGGGGAGTGTTGCTGGAGTGACAGTCCTTGGCCAGATATAAATCTGGGTCGTTCCGGTTACGTAGACCCGACTGTCGTGGGAACGTGTANTGGTATCGAAAGTGTCAAAAACTGTTCTGAATTTTTTCTTTTAAATCAAAGCGTGCCATGTGAAATACAAAAAATTATAAAAAATAAAAAATTGAAATTGGAAAAAATAAAAATTGTTGCAACTTTCTTTCCTAGTAAATTTGTTTGCTTCTCGAAGCATTGATCCATCCTTTACAAGGGCCAGTAATCAGCGGTTGTGCTGCTGAGTTGGGCGAACGTTCCAAAAGCTGCTATTCAATCGCTTGTTTTGTATGGAAAAAGGTTTCACATGCAAATGGATTTTAACAATTCCGAATTTTTGTGAGAAAAAATTAAAAATATTTGACATTTTCGAGACCAAATAATTTGAAAATAAATCAAATCAGCTGCTCTACTGATACTACCTGTTCAATGTACCTTGGTTCGCTTGTAATAACATTTATAAAAATTGACAATCGAAACAATTTTATAAGCATTTTCTTTCAAAAAATCTTCACAGGTCTCAATAAAAGGCACCAGGAGGAAGATAAAATACTCGATTGTTTTTATTCCTCCGAAAAAATATGTGCTGCGTCTATTTTAGCCTTGATAAATGTACAGTTTTCTTGCCCCCATCATTAATATTTTTTATTGTAGTATTTCGTCACCTGAAATGCAAAAAGACGTAACAACATCGCAACTAGATCGGTGAACTCGTTTGTTTTTCAGTTAGAAATTTGAAGTAGTACTGTGGAAGTGAAGTGGAAGTCGAGGTATGCATTATTTTCCAATTGATGACTTGGTGGCTTTATAAGTAGATCTTTTCCAAATTCAAACTGAAACTAGATTTAATATTGTCAAGCACTATGCCAGCTGTTGAATATTTAGTAATCTCTAACAAAATTATGAGCTGCTGGGAAATTCAGCGCACTTTTCTACGCACTATCGACTTTTTCGATAACAAAATTTGGTTTACTGGGTACACAAGAATATGCACCTACTCAATGATTTGTCGGGTTAAGGATTACTAGTAAAATATATCAAATGTACTGGTACAAAATCATACCGCCAATCATAGAGCATACGACACAAAAAAAAAAGAAAAAAGAAAATGCTCTTATAAAATAAAACATCATTGTGTAGTTGTTTTTTTTTTTTGGTATCGTCTAAACGCGCGCGCACACTGCAAATCTACAACTTCAACACACGCATAAGACATTTTGTATCACATTCGTGCTACATAGATATGTATATGTAGTACATACAACAACAACAAAAAAAAACACCTGCGGACCGACCAGAAGCAATACTTTTTCAATTGACCGTTAATTACTCTTCAATTAATTCTCTTTACTTTTTTATTCCACTTGATTTTCTTCTGTTGAAAACTTTTAATTGCATAGTACATTTATTTACAATTCTATCTCTCAGCTTCATTTAAAAATCAATTTCCCATGTATCCATTGTTCTACTAAAATAACGTGAAGGCGTCATTCGAAATTGATTTTTCTCAAATAAAAATAAAATTTAAACTACTTATGCCAGTGAAAAAACAAATAAAACAAATCTTTGCAACTAAGCAGACTGTGTATTGATCTTGAACCATTCAATAATTTGCTGCTTAAACATTTTACCCTTTACACATTACATATTGAATGAAAACAATAGCTGCAAAATTTTCAAGTTTAAACTAATCTCGATACTCAAACTTCACTGCAACCCAACATTTAACTTTTTTCAGCAGCAACATAGTATGATGTATGTATCTATGTATGCTGGTCAAGCAATCTACTCTATACATACATACATGTCTAGTACATACATATGTACATCTTTCCCATTACCCTACTACTACTATTTTTTCTTCCCTTCAACCCATTCACCACTCTTACTCTTTTGTGTTTTTTTTTTCAACTACTGCTGCTGTTCTTTTTTAACTGAAAGAAATCTCTTCTTAATTCTTTAATTTTCTAGCTTTTATGCTTTGCTACACACAAGACGATGCCAATGCTGAAGGAGGTATGTACCAGTTACTTTACTGTTGTTTAACCATTTACCACATACTTACTACTTACTACATGCATATATAAATATGTTAATATACTATACTCTGTACAACTCTTATCTCTACAACATACTACTTACTACTTATTAACGTACCATTAACTGTAGTTCACATATTTGCTCATTTTCATTTGATTACTCTTGGTTACTATAGTTCGTTAATTTAATTTTTTGTTTTTTTTTTGTTTGGTTTTAATTCCCTTATCCAATCACTTATTTAAATACATACATACTTACATACATGTATGTGCTCTTATAAAAATATAGACTCATCTATTTTTCTTTTGACTATTTGATACTCGTGTAGGCTTTCATTCACTAGCCCATAGAGTAGCGCTTATAACATTCTTTAATACATAAAATGTACAGTCATAGTGAAACTAATCAACCACCCAAACTAAGTTTTAGTTGAAAAAAGAGAGTATGTATTTGATCATAATTTTTCATTTTCGATTTTTATAAGTACTTGTACTTTCATACATATATGTATATAAATTTATTATTATTATGCAAGTATCAATATTTACAAAAACATCTCAATTTATGTATAATTTTTTTTTTATAATTTTGTTTTTAATTTAGCTACCCCTTTATTTCATGAATTTCTATATTTAAAATGACAACGCCACGTAGGAATTTAATTTTTATTTGTTAAGTAATTATTATACATGTGTATGTAAATCTATTCGATCATTGAGGTATGCCGTTTGTAAAAAGAAAATGCTCAAACTTTTGCAGACAAACCAAAAATTAAAATCATTGAGATATGGACCTCAATAAATTCAGCATTTTTGTTCATAGCAACTTCAATTCAAACTCAAAGCATTTTTTTGGTAACTATGTACAGTGCCGACCACTTGCATAGTGCATTTTTACATTTCTCTCTATAATGTCAAATGTTGTTTACCTATTTTGACATTTTAGAGTGCAAAACCAAACAACAAAATACACACATCTAATGGTCATGAAGTTGGCATCGAAATTATTCGTGAACATTATTAGTTTGGCAAATCCTTCTTTTGTGAAGCATCTCCAAATAGGAACTTTTCCTGTATATTTCACTTGACGATGAAGCAACTTACCGTCTGTAGGGAATCAGATGAGCTTAGCTGTGTTTGTCATCCAAAAGGAGGACTCGTCTGTAAAAACCACTTGGCTGAAACTATCATCACATTTATGTCTTTAAGCGAGGAACGGACTTCAGCTCCAATAACATCAATAAACAGTAGCATATCGACACCTGAGTAGAAGATCGACCCATCTCGGCAGCCAGTTCGAAAACGCCCTATGTCAGCAAATTTTTCATGAACGCCCCATTTCAAAATTTGGTCGAAGAACGACCTATCGCAGAATTTGATTGTGGCGTTATTGAGCCATTTTCTGAGATAGGGCGTTTTCGAATCGGCCGCCGAGATCGGTCGATCTTCCACTCAGCCGTCGATATGTCTAATAGAAATGTATCTGGCAAAATTTTAACATAGAGTGCCGCTACTAAAAAAATTAAAATAAACCTAGGTAGAAAATCATTTTAACAGCACATAGTTCGCTAGTTTCGTGAAAATATTTCATAGCGTATCGATTTACTTCACTGGGAAAGTTTGAGTATAATTCCCTTCAATACCTGCCCAAAAGCAGCCTTAACAAAATTATCAATTCATCAACAATTTTGGTTGATGTAAAAAAGCACATTGGCGTGGTGTATGGTATCGGAATGGAACTTACATATTTAATTGCTACCCGGGCGTCAAAACCTGAATCTGTAATTAGAATACAAGTTTTATTTTAAGTTTTGTTTTAATTTCATGCATCTCACATTTTTCTATTAGTGCATATATCTAAAGAAATTGTAAATATACATACATATGAATGATACATATTTTAAATATTTATTCACTTAATATACATACATATGTACCTACATACATACATAACGTTGTACTCAAGAGACTGTATTTTCCAATTACTAAAAACAAAAATTAAGCCTTGAAGGTAATCCAAGTAATTTTCTACCTCTTGTGCCGGTTACTTGTAACTGAATGCACCTGTAAATCTTTTTATTACCGTCATAAACTAATGACAAAACCTTTTACCTTCCGCGCTCAAATATATACAGATAAATGATCATTTAAACGCAAAGACATGATTTAACTTAGACCATATCCAAAATTATTGCTACAAATATATATATATTTTTTGTTTCAATGCTAACAGCTAAATTTCAATTTATGCATATTTGATTCAAAATATTCGTACTAAATATACCTATGTACATACATAGCATTTCCAAAGTCGTATGCATTTCATAGTTTCTCAGTGAATCAAACACACACACACACACATAACGTACAGTGTACACTTTACCACTCCCGCGTCCATATCCCAGACCTTGCCAAAATTGAAAATGATATTGTTTGCAACTTACGTTTATTTATTTGTTTCTAACAAAAATTGCCATCGAAATTTCTAAACTATTAATCAGTAGCTTTAGAAAATTTTCGGGTATGCAGTTTTGTAGACCATTCAATTGTAGGCTAATAAAGTGCAAGTTTCAAGTCGATAAAAATTACCGTTGATTTTTTTGAATTGTTTTGGTGGATGGTGTTGCGCATTTTCTTCCATATAAAAATAGATTTTGATCATCAACTGTAGTTTTTAGCGACTTGAAACGTGCACTTTATTAAACTGAAATTGAATGGTCTACAAAACTGCATATTCGAAAAATTTGTACGAATTAAAAAGTTTGAAATTTTGATAACTATTTTTAAGTTTGGTTAACTTTTGTGAAAGTTTTGAAACTTTTATTTACATATACATATATGGTTTCGGTTATAAATTGAATTATATTTTAAATGAAAATTATTAAAACTAAATAGATAAACAAAAGTTGCAAACAATATGAATTTGAATTTTGTTGCTAAATCTCTGACCATAGCTGTATAATTAGCATCATAAAGAAGAAAGAAGGCACTATTCTTAGAATTTATGTGCAGTCTCAGTTAGGCAAAGAACATTCCAACTTTCTTATAAACAAATTAAAAACAAAAACAAACCATTCATTTGTGCGCTGGCTGTCGCGAGTTATTGTTTTTTTTTTACGAACAAAATTCAAGCCATGTCAGATTTTATGACAAAATTTATTACACATTTAAGTTCATGTACATTAGACCGTACCAAAAAAAAAAAGTTCGCCGTTAATCGCTGAGTCTAAAGTATTTTTGAAAGGAAATTTTTCTTCATATCTTCGGCATTTACAGTCGGATCGTAAAGTATGATATATCGATGTTCTTGCCTCCAGGAGACAAAGTTCATTGACCTCAAGTTCGCCGTTTTGGTACATGCCAACCAAACCTCAGTTCTTATCACTCTAAAGTGCCACCCTAATGACAGTAAATGAAAGCTCGCCAAAAATCATTAAACCTTTGCTAAGGAAGTATTTGGATTATTCTAGTAGAACTATTTCCAAAAAAAAAAATTTATTGCCGAATGTAGGTGTCACCGAAAATGTGACCCCTAGCGACCAACCAATTTTTTTTTTCGAAATCGGCTTTCAAAAATACTTTAGTCTGGACGGTGTACGACGAACTCTTTTTAGTTGGCTTCTAAGGTGATACGGTATAATGTACATAGGTATTTAATTCTACATCCGTTTGCTATAAAAAAAAATCGGCAAACATTTAATAGCCCACACACATCCACCCCTGCTCCCCTGCTTAGCTTCCTATCGTGCTGCTACATTTACTATGTGTGAGCTCACAATTGCAGATTTTTGGTTGGTTGTTGTTGTTGTTTTAATTTCTCTTTAGTTTTTTTTTTTTCTTAGAATGTGCTTGTATTTTTTTAAATCTGTATTTTTCGCAAGTATTTAACTGGCAAAACTAAACAAAAGCAAGACATAGTCTTTGTATATTTCTACAAATGAGAGCTGCCATTTGGAATTGGTTCAGCAAAACGCCCATATATATGTATGTGACGTAAAAGTATGAACGAGTTATTACCTTTAGTATTAATTAAAAATGTGAAAAGGATATCCTGACAATGTGAAATGTGTCCTGAGTGAATGATCTTTGAAAGTTGTGCTCGATGCGGCTTTATCAGTCATCAAGAGATGGATCTACATACCTCCGAAATTTGAGGAAATTTATGTGCCTTAAAAGTTCAAAACCAATAAAAAAAATTGTTGCTACAACAGTTCACATATAAAACTAAAGGAACAGTCTATGTGTACATACGAGTACTTTTATAAAAAAAAATCTAGAATTATTATATTTTCAGTATATTGTTTTATATGGAAGACAATCCACCACCAGATTACCTACATTTCTATGTACTTATAGGTAAGAGGAAACATAACGGAATTGTACGCTACACATATCTCAGCCGTTCAATTAAAGTAGCCTAAATCGGGTTAGGCCCTTCCCCTTTAGAGCAACATTTCATTGGGTTCCCAAACAATATTTTAACGGTCAACTAGCCGTAGGTGTAGCTCAAGATGCTCTTTTAATAGAACTTAATATGTAAAAATATAAAAATTTCAAAGTGAAACTGATTATTTTTTAATTCAAAATCAAACCTTCTAAAGTCACTTAAGCTACTTTAATTGAACGGCACGGATATGTACATACATATATGAGATCATTTCTGGATATGTGTCTCTACCTATCTACCTAGGGGCCTATCGATTCTCCGCTCTAGACTTCAAAATAAGATGCATAGTTACGCTATTTCCGATCATATTTTGAAAATGAAATCGTGAAGCTGTTTTGTTTCTTAAGTTTTTAAGTGATTCATTTTTTTGTTTGGAGTTATGATTTTTTAAGCTTTTGATTGTGTTTTGTGAACTTTTGTGATATAGGCAAGCTTTCCGGATATGTATTTGTGAATTTGTCTAGGTACTGCTCTGTGCACTTTGATATTATCATTTTGGTTACTATCCTTCTTTTTTTTGTCTGTTTGTAGGCTAAAGCATCTGTACTTATGCTACAACGTCTGTTATCTCTCCAAAATTGAACACCTTTGTCCCCTGCCCTCCGCCCAAGAGCCCACAATTCCGAGCAAAATTTTATACGAATCCAGCATATCATATTCACTTACTCAGAAATCGATTTGTTAAACTCCCATAATGCCAAAAATTACCGCTAGAACACCTAAAAGTA